TAGGGTGACACAATGTTCAGGAGAAACTCAAACCAAACAATATTTATCTTTAGGGTGACACAATGTTCAGGAGAAACTCAAACCAAACAATATTTGTCTATAGGGTGACACAATGTTCAGGAGAAACTCAAACCAAACAATGTTTATCTTTAGGGTGACACAATGTTCAGGAGAAACTCAAACCAAACAATATTTGTCTATAGGGTGGCACAATGTTTCGGGAGAAACTCAAACAGTGTTTATCTTAAGAGTGACACAATGTTCAGGAGAAACTCAAACCAAACAATATTTGTCTATAGGGTGACACAATGTTTCGGGAGAAACTCAAACAGTGTTTATCTTTAGGGCGGCAGAGTGTTCAGGAGAAACTCAAACAATAGGGGAACAGGCTGGTATCAGGTTGACACAGAGTCTATGAGTAAATTAAAATCAAAACTTAACTGTGTTTATATGGACCTACAGTCCAGGAGTTTCATGTTCTTCTTTCTAATTCTCAACATGGACTTATAAACCACACATTAAAACACCAAGATAACCTTGTTCTGGCAAGGCCTGGTGGTTAGGGCGCCGGACTCACAATCTGCGGATCGCGTGTTCGAACCCCATTCGCCAAACACGCTCTCCCCTTCAGCCGTGGATACGTTATAATATGAGGGAAAATCGCGCTATTCGTTGACAAAATAGTAGCCCAATAGTTGGCGGAGGGTGATGTTGACTAACTTCCTTCCCTCTGGTCCGCTACTACTAATTAGAGACGGCTAGGACAAATAGCCCTCGAGTAGGTTTGCGCAAATTTAAAACAAACATACAAACGTAACTGCGTTTGTCTCTCATCCTTGAGCGCTCTATTAACGCGAACCGCGTTGATCTTTCATCCGTAACCGCTCTCTGAACGTTAATCATGTTTATCTTGTAGCCTTGAGCGCTCTACTAACGTCAACCGCGTTTTCCTTGAACACACCAACAAGCGGTCGATGCGCATATGCTGAGAATATATTCGCTCAATACACGTGCATACTTTTTGAAAGGAAACATCAATATTTTCCCTGTACACTATCGCTGAATATAAAATGTCATTGTAACAAAATGCAATAGACACGATCTTTAACACTTTAAAAGTGAATAACAACAACAAAGTAGCCTAGCGAGACCACCGCGTTAATATTGCTACAATAATAGTCTTATTCTAACAATTTTCAATGGAGTAGCAGAATCAATGATGTTTTTTTTTTTCTAAATGTTAACCCTTTAGTGGTATGGTCTGTATGATCGAGTTGAAGCCCTTAGCTTCCACGCGGTTCTTAGCCGAGAACTCCTTTGTCCTGTAACTTGTGATTCTTTTGGTGAATTATTCTTTTTGCTGTTTAGATTTCTTTGTTTCTTTGTAATTAAGCACAAAGCTACACAATGGGCTATCTGTGCTCTGCCCACCACGGGTATCAAAACCTGGTTTCTAGCATTGTAAGTCCGCAGACATACCGCTGTGCCACTGGGGGGGGGCTGCTGCTCGACCCGAGTTCATGTGGTAAACTTATTAGAAGTATGAAATGTTCCCCCAGTGGCACAGCGGACTTACAACGCTAGAAACCGGGTTTCGATACCCGTAGTGGGCATAGCACAGATAGCCCATTGCATGGCTTTTTGCTTGACTTCAAACAAACCTCGTCTGATGGCGCAGAATTGGCGTAATTTTGGTACTCCAAATGATTATCAAATAACCTATATTTCTTGACCTTTGACACCAAATATAAATATGCTACTTTTCCAGCAGATATAAAGGGCACTTGTTGTGTCTAACTTGACCTCTTGACCTGAAACACAGAATTGTAAACAAGTAGTATCGACAGGTGGGTTTAAAAACAGTTTCACCGAAAGCCATCCCAATAAAAAATGAGCACTCAGATTTACAGTTTGAGCACGCTAACCGCTAAGACACGCCCGACCTAACCCACATTATATAAATGTCTCTTGTTAGCAATGTTTCAGCAGTTATTAATACAACTTTGTATTATATATTTCTATAAATTGTGATTTATTTAAAACACGAAGATCAGTATACTATTCAACAATGAAGACATGTTTCTCTTTATTTGTGGACCAGAGTTTTAATCTGGAACTTGAGAGAATGACACCAATAGGAGTAATTTCTGTTATTAGATTAGATTAAGAAATAAGCTTTATGTACAAATCAACCAACAATTTCAAAATTTGATGTTGAAACACCGGAAAGTTAAAATATTCAAGTCGAGAAAGTTATATCAAAATAAAGTTTTTTTTATTCGTTCATGCTGACCAATTCCAGCTTTCTTTGGAGATTTGTTCAACTGTTTGTGATTGTTATCGTATCTGTGAGTTTAAAAAGAGTTTAAGAAACACATCTCGAAGAAAGATCTTTGATACAAATTATGACTGACGTGTATTATCTTTGGAACAATATTAGTAACATTTGATATATATATAATTCCGAGAGAACAGTTGTCAAATGGAGGAACGAGTCCCATTACAATTGAGTCGTCACACAGATACCAACTGGTACACGTTATAACATTTAAAGTTACAACAAACAAGACAGGAAGGAAGTGGCATGATAACTCCAGATCCAAACAGCTACCAAGTGGTACACGTTATAACATTTAAAGTTACAACAAACAAGACAGGAAGGAAGTGGCATGATAACTCCAGATCCAAACAGTTACCAAGTGGTACACGTTATAACATTTAAAGTTACAACAAACAAGACAGGAAGGAAGTGACATGAGAATTCAAAGTTAATCAGCCCTCAAGAGTTACAGGACTGAATCCACAATCATTCTGGTAATGATTGGGAGAGGACTGAATCCACAATCATTCTGGTAATGACGTGGAGAGGACTGAATCCACAATCATTCTGGTAATGACGTGGAGAGGACTGAATCCACAATCATTCTGGTAATGACGTGGAGAGGACTGAATCCACAATCATTCCGATAATGATGTGGAGAGGACTGAATCCACAATCATTCTAGTAATGACATAGAGAGGACTGAATCCACAATCATTCTTTAGTCAGGTAGATATCTGTAAGGATGTGGATGTGTTTCTATGACGACAAGTTCAAATGCTTTGTTTTTCGCTAAACTCAACCATGTTTCAGTTCACGTGAATTACGAGGCTAGATAATAAAAAAAATCGAAACTGAAACCCTTAGAGAAAACTTAATGAATGACAGAAACTGTTTTTCCAGTTGTTGTTTCCTTCTCTCAGTTTGTCATAAAACTGTTAGAATTTTAATAATATTTTTCTCTAACACACTTAAAAGTGTTTGTTTTTGTCGGATTAAACTTTCTTCATTTTTGTCACGTGATCTGAACTGTTATATTAATTATTCTTGTGTCAAAACTGCCGTCACTAGGCTTAAAAGATAAGTTATTAGATAAGCTGAAACAGGTAATGTTTGTTTAGTCAGGGGATTTGGGATGAAGGTGAAAGGAGGCAAATACTCTGACGATGGGCACTTGTATGCATACGTCGCTTGTACAGTTGCTGGAGGACTGGCTGAAAAGAAAGGCATCAAACAAGGTAATTTAATATCAACTTATATGAACATAACATTGAAATACCTCTCGTGTATACAACTTGTTTGAGGAAACGAGAGAACTCTTTGTTACTTATTGATCGTATAATGATGAGTAACTCCGTATGTAACTCCATGGAACAATGAGTAACTCCATATGTAACTCCATAGAACAATGAGTAACTCCATATGTAACTCCATAGAACAATGAGTAACTCCATATGTAACCCAATACTTACTAACGGTGGATAACTACATTGGGCTACTTACTAATAGTGTATAATTACGTTAGGCTACTTACTAATGGTGTATAACTACATTAGGCTACTTACTAATGGTGTATAACTACGTTAGGCTACTTACTAATGGTGGATAACTACATTAGGCTACTTACTAATAGTGTATAATTACGTTAGGCTACTTACTAATGGTGGATAACTACGTTAGGCTACTTACTAATGGTGGATAACTACGTTAGGCTACTTACTAACGGTGGATAACTACATTGGGCTACTTACTAATGGTGGATAACTACGTTAGGCTACTTACTAATAGTGTATAATTACGTTAAGCTACTTACTAATGGTGGATAACTACGTTAGGCTACCTACTAATAGTGTATAACTACGTTAGGCTACTTACTAATGGTGTATAACTACGTTAGGCTACTTACTAAACATTATTAGTCCGGTCAATAATACTCTAGCTTTGTTTTACCAAAACTCTGGTCGTTAACTGATTCTCTTAACGAAGAGGCTCCTTACCAAACACGTGTTTCAAGTGGTTTGTTCTTATACTTTGTATATTAACGGTTAGGCATAGCTTTATTGACTGGTTGACGTTTCTTTGAAACATCAAAGTCACTGTGCCAGTAAAACGATTGAATTAAGGATACTGACTCACTATATTCTAACAATATCTAGACTATGACATTCGTTCCGAAATCCGTCTCTTCCCTTGAAACCCTCAAGATTTTACTGCGAAAACATTAGCATTAGTAAGCCTAATTATGTAAATGTGTTTTGCATTTCATACACCAGGGTTGTTTTCAAGTGCATTCTAAGAATATCTTTTCCACGCCCTCGTAATATAAAACCAATACACGCTATATAATAATATATATTTCACCTTGGTTTGTTACAATTCCCTTTAAAAAAAAAATATTTCCACCACAGGACATTGACGTCTTGAAGACAGATGGCGCTAATGTAGCAGCAATGTTTGTTGTCTGAGTAAATAGCAATTATTATTATTTATATCAAGAACACGAGAAACTACCTATATATATATATACATAAGTGGTAAATATCAGTTGATATTTGTATGTGAAACGTCCATAGACAAATCAAAAAACGACGACGTTACGTTTACTAACGAAACTGTGGTAGTAATAAATGAATATTTTGTGAAACGTACGGTTTTCTCCGAGGTTTGAAGTATTAATTATCCAAATTTTCTATTCTGTATTTTTAATTTTCTCAGGAGACCGAATACTGAACTGGAATGGGGTTTCACTGGTAGACAAGACCTTTGAAGAAGTGACTACCGTGATTCAACGAGAAACGGAAACCGTTGAGATTCTGGTCGAGAAAGTCGCCTGGAAGTAAGTCATTTATCAACAATACAATATGATATTCCTGATGACAATATAACTAGGATGTCAACTAAAACACGATCTTAATCTAAACTTAATCTAAGTAAGACATCAACTAGCACACGATACACGCCTTGTCTAAGTAGGACGTCAAGTAGGTTTAGTGTGTATAGTGTGCTAGTTGATGTCTTACTTAGATTAAATGTGTATAGTGTGTGTATGTGTGCTAGTTGATGTCTTATTTAGAATGCCTTATTTAGATTTAGTGCTACTTGATGTCTTACTTAGATTAAATGCGTATAGTGTGCTAGTTGATGTCTTACTTAGATTAAATGTGTATTGTGTGCTACTTGATGTCTTATTTAGATTTAGTGTGTATAGTGTGCTAGTTGATGTCTTACTTAGATTAAATGTGTATTGTGTGCTACTTGATGTCTTATTTAGATTTAGTTTGTATAGTGTGCTAGTTGATGTCTTACTTAGGTTAAATGTGTATAGTGTGCTAGTTGATGTCTTATTTAGATTTAGTTTGTATAGTGTGCTAGTTGATGTCTTACTTAGGTTAAATGTGTATAGTGTGCTAGTTGATGTCTTATTTAGATTTAGTGTGTATAGTGTCCTACTTGATGTCTTACTTAGATTAAATGTGTATAGTGTGCTAGTTGTACACAGTTAATGTAACCAGGACAACAAGGACACAATACACGGTTAATATAACCAGAACAACAAGGACACAATACACGGTTAATTTAACCAGGACAACAAGGATACAGTACACAGTTAATGTAACCAGGACAACAAGGACACAATACACAGTTAATGTAACCAGGACAACAAGGATACAGTACACAGTTAATGTAACCGGGACAACAAGGATACAGTACACAGTTAATGTAACCAGGACAACAAGGATACAGTACACAGTTAATGTAACCAGGACAACAAGGATACAGTACACAGTTAATGTAACCAG